GCAGTATTACAGGTTACCGGTGGAAGAGAGTGGAAGAGAAGCCAGTGCGAATCCGGTTTTCAGAAGCGTCGACCAACGTTTCTGTCGTGTCGTCGGGACATTTGTATTTCCGACGGTGAGGACCGAATAGGCTTGTGCCTCTCTGCCTTCAACCAGTAACATGACAAAAAATGAGTTTGGGGATGGTGGCAAAAGTTTTCTTTGTGGAATTTGTTGAACAATCGAATTGCCTGGAAATTATGTAACAATGGGGGGGGGGGAGGAATTCGGGAGGATGAATTCCGAGGTGGACGGTTCAAGCTGGATAATGGAAGTTTGAAAGGGCATGTCTCAGAAAGAATTGGGATTGAAGCAGCTAATCGATTGTTCGAAATTTGACGTCTTACAAGTATGAATTACAAATTGAGACCTAATTTTTTCCAGTTACCGTTAAACCTGTAATAGAAAGACTCTCTAACTTTGAGCGAAGTTATCTCAGTTCCAGTCAAATATATCAAAAACTTGTCAACTGATAAATTATTTATCATAATATCAGAATCATTTTATTAGTTGGCAGATTTTTGATATCTTTTATAGGAGCCGAGATAATGGAGCTCAAACTTGACAGTGCTAGTTTCAGGGTTTACGGTACCTACTAATCATATCTTCAGCGTAAGCTCAGAGCTTCCAGCTTCCCCAAAACCTCTCTAAACATCTTCTATTTTGCCTCTCTTTTATCTTCTTCAAATTACCCCCTTTACGTCACCCAGAAGACCATCCGATTGCGCAACCCGAAGCGACGCAATCGAAGTGGACAGTATCCCATTGCGTTGTCAGCTTTTTTAAAACCTTTTCTCTAAATGAACTCTCAACATTTAATTTTTTCGAGACCAACGCAATCTGTAGGGCTTGGAAAAAAGATTGAAAATGAGGTTTACTCGACAAACAAGATCGTTTGTTTGAGCTCCTTATTCGGAAGGCAGGGGGGGGGGGTGGCAAAAGTAACACTTGAAAGCGCGAGACAAAGTAAAAAAGAGAAAAAGAAGTAAGTTGAAATACAAGGGGGGACAAAATTGATCACCGATTTCCAAATACAGTTCGATTCTTCCTACTTGTTTCAACCCCACTTACTCATGATGACGTGCCTGTAAATAGGGGAGAAGAGTAAGCATGTTTTCCATAAATAAGAGAGGGGTCAGATGATGTGATCATGGAGTAGAAGATGTAGATCATCTGAAGACGATGGTGGTAGAAGAAGAAGGCGTCACGTCACTGAAGAAGTCGGGTCTGGAACAGCCGGGTGGTGTTTTCCGAATTCAAATATTGGACTGATTATTTATTTTGAGGTCTGATTATTTATTATCAGGGCAAACTAGTTATAGATCGTTTGGCTATTTTCAGGTTACCAGGGCCACATGGTTTGAACATAATATTTAATTTTTTCGCCCACTTCGAACTTCAACAACAAGCTCATCTGGGGACGACCAATACAGTAATTGAAGGACGTTTCCCGAAAAGTTAGTGAAGCGCACGCTCTTCTCCTCTTTTTACTAAAATTGGAATCAAATCGAAAGATGCAGAATTGAGAGGACAGTGGCAGCTTGACCTTCGGCTTTTGTCCATCTTCGCAACCTTATTTGCCGCCATCACACACGGCGACACAGGAGAGAGCGAGAGAGAGACGCGAAGAGTGGAATTTTTGAAATTTGAAAATTCAGGGGCTGTTGAATTGATGAGGTCGGCCTTCAACTGCTTTTCACTTTGCAACCTGGGTGAAATCTGAACCTCTTTCTAACAAAACATCGCTATACAAAATGGAGATTGCCCCGAACCAGGATCGAACTGGTGACCTTTAGATCTTCAGTCTAACGCTCTCCCAACTGAGCTATCGAGGCACGGTTTATCGAGTTTCGGATTGCATACAGATTGCGGCAGTTCTCTGGGATAATCATTGATGCCCAGAATCCATGGAAGCAAACGGTAGTAGTTGGGGCGGCACGCGCTTCTCTTGTCATTCATTTTTCAATCCCGGTTTTTCGATTTTCCGTCGTCAACTACCCATAATGTGGAAAAGAGAGAAAGTTGTTAAAAACGAGAAAATCAGAGAAAAAAGGCAACCTGTATTTGTCTCATGTGATGTTTTTTTATTCTGTTTTCTGTATTTTTTCGAATTTTATTCGAATTCAATTGATGACGCCAGAGAGGACGACGACGTCGACTGCTGGCAGCTTTCAATTGTACCTCAATTCAAAATCACTTCAGAATTTCATTAGGAGAGAGGGTCTATTTCGAGAGTACTGACCACACAGCTACTGCAAAGTTCTTTTCGAGGAGGGGTTGAATTTTTTACAGCGTCACGTCTTCTGAGTACAGTCGGGAGAGACGCAGAAAAAGAGGACGAGAAGAAGAAGTCGAATTGAAATTGAACAAAAAGAAGAAGAGACACCCGAAAAGAAGACCACGACTTCTGGTCAGAAAAGTTAGAAGGGTGACATCAAGAATCAAGCTACAAAAAGAAAATGTGTTGGAAGGTTTCAGATTAAAGGTTGAGGAACAGAAACTTGGGCAAACTGGAATTTTAAGGACATTGGGAACGAATTGGGTGATACTGTAGAATTCAAAATAATTAATTTCGGAAAACTTCAGAACAATCTGAAGCTAGAACCGAATGATGAAAATTTTCGTTTTCGAAATTCTAACATTCTGAGATTTTGAGATTCCGAGATTTTGAGATTCTGAAATTATAAAATTTTGAAAAATTCTGAAATTATAAATTTTTGAAAAATTCTGAAATTATAAATTTTTGAAAAATTCTGAAATTAGAAAAATTTAGAAATTTTTAGATTGCGAGATTCTAAGATTCTGAGATTCTGAGATTCTGAAATTCTGAAATTCTGAGATTCTGAAATTCTGAAATTCTGATATTCTGAAATTCTGAAATTCTGAAATTCTGTAATTCTGAAATTCTGAAATTCTGAAATTCTGAAATTCTGAAATTCTGAAATTCTGAGATTCTGAAATTCTGAGATTCTGAGATTCTGAAATTCTGAAGTTCTGAGATCCTGAGATTCAGATATTCTGAGATTCTAAAATTTTGAGTTTCTGAGATTGTTGGAATTTCCAAAAATAAATTGAAAAAAAAAATCTGAAATTCAATCATTCAAAAAAAAATCGAATAATCTAAAAAAAAATAAAAATTTTTACAGATCAGTTTTTTACAGATTTCAGCCAACAACGAAGAACGCTATCGAGGATAAGCAAGAAATACATATACAAAATTTGGTGATTGTTGATGATTTATTTCAGAATACAGCTCAACTGGTTTCCACACTTCCCCATGAAATGAATTCAAAGTTCTCTAAATAATTTTAACATGTCATACGAAACTTCTTATTGATGATTTTGAGCTGTTCGAATGTATTTTACTTTCCCTTTTTTAATCTTCCCTCAAAGGATTATCTGATAACAAAACACAGTCCATCGATTCAAAATAGTTCTCACATTTTTGAGAAAGTACAAAAAACTCATAAACAGTATTCAGCATTCCATAACCATATTTCCTTTATTTTTTATTCCAGTCGTAAACTCTATAACTTTGCAGTTCTTTCGTTGATAGTCCTGTTATCAGTTTTGATTATTTTGTCACAGTATTCATAAAACTTTCCTATCATTTCCGAAAAGACTTTAACCTTGTACTACACATTTTTAGTATTATTCTGGTACCAAAAAAACCGAGTTGTGGAACAGGAAAGACAGTGGCCATGGCCAAAGGTCTCACAACGACAACTACCGTAACCTGAATAAATTTTTATTTTCCGGATTTATTTTCTCCATTTTTACTGATTTTCGTCGAGTTTTTTCAAAAATTTAAATTTATGATCATGAAAAAATTGACTGAAAACGCATGAAAATGGAGAAAAAAATTCTGAAAATAAAAATCGTTTTAGGTTACGGTAGTTTTTGTTGCGGGACCTTTGGCCACGGCCATCGGCGTTTCTCTAACACCGCTTCGATTTTTTAAATCAGAATAATATAATCGTTGAACTTTGTGTTCAGGGCATTCTTTTTGAATTCCATACAGTAACCTATAATTTCTAGAAAAAACCAGAACGAAGTTTAGAACCAAACTGTAGTATTCAAGATGAAAATATAAAATGGGTTTCAAGGCAATTTTATTGAAATCGACGTTCAATTTTCCATAAGATTGAACAGCAATTTGATGCTGAAAACAAAAAAACTACGCATCCCTCCGTCTCTTTTTATTGATATCATCAACACTAAACCCTCACAAACACTTTTAGGCTCTTTCTCCCTTTCTTATCATTTTGATAATACAGTCTCTTGGTCTGTGTGTGGTCACTCAGTCAGTCTTAATATGTCTTTCTGATATCAAAATGATACTGTTCAGTTTTGAAGACCTTTCAAATTTGAATCGGTTTCTTTTGGATTCATAACCTCGAATTTACTGTAAAACCTGGATTAGAAGGGCACCTCTAATAGAAGTGCCCTCCGAGAGGGGCTTAGAAACATAGAAGGGCTCCCATCAAAATGCTCTATTCGGCATTAAAATTTTCCGTACTTTTTTAGTAAAAAACATTCCGAAAATTCCAAAGTTTAACAGAAAATTGTTGTAATACAATTTGAAAACTTGCTCAATTTTGTTAATATTGATAGATTATCATGAAGTTTGAACGAAAATTTGCCGAGTTTTCCGATCAACAATTTCGAAAAAAAAATGACTGGAAAAATAGAAGGGCCCTCCAGAGGTACTTCGGTACAGTAGAAAGACCGGCCCTTCTGATACAGATTTCACGGTAACCTTGATTCTGGGAACATTGTAAACTTAGTTTACTAACGAGACAGTAGAGTAGTTTAGCTTGTTAGATTTTAATATTCCTAGATTTTGATTTTCTGAGTTTGCGAGATTTTGAAAATTCGAAATGTTGACATTCTAACATCCGTTGCTACTACTTCCATCTCCAATCTTACTATTCCAGGCTTCAGCCTCTTCCAAAACAAAAATGCGAATCCAAAAAGTGGACGATATATTCGAATTGGATTCTTACCAACTCGTCGTTCTTACATTCAATGAGTTTCTAATTTTCACAATGCTCTCCAACGTGGTCTTCAATATGTTTGGAGCAGCAGCACCTCGTGTTCCAGGCTGTGATGATATCGTTTACAATGCGACAAGCCCCTTTCAACAATGCGAACAATACGATCTACATTTGGAATGTCAAAAACCACAGATGGTTTATGAATTCAAATCAGTGGCAGTGGAATTTGAAGAACTTTGTAATCGACACGAACAAGAATCTTATATGGATTCGATTACTCAGCTATTTGGTGTAAATAACAGAGTTCGGTTTTCAACAACTTCCCAAATGATTGGAATCATGATTGGATCAGCCGTAGCTGGACAGTTATCAGACTTGTATGGACGCAGAAAAGTGGGAATTTCAAGTTTTCGAATAATTTTTTAGATTTTCGAACTTTTTCAGATTACTCTGGCATTCCTCTGCTTGATGCTATTCTTTTCGACGTTTTCCAGTTTTTCTTCAACTATCGAAATCTTTATTATCTTCCGATTTTTTATTGGAATCTGTTGTGGTGGATTGACAACGTTAGTTTTCTTGTAAATTTATTTTTCAGACAAATTTAATTTTTCAGAGTCGGTTGCATTTTTGTCGTGGAAAATCTTCCATCCGCCCATAGGTTGTGGATGAGTACCGTAGTCACATGGGCTCCAAACTACATGCTCTTTGCCTTATGTGCTTATATAACTGGAGATTGGAGATATTTGGCAAGAATGTGTAATGTTATGACTATTATCGCTATTGCTTTGTGTGCCTTGTAAGTTTTCGAAGCTTGAAACTAGTAAAAGTCGTCTTTCAGCTTGCTCCCGGAAAGTCCCAAGTATCTTATCCAGGCGAGAAAGAGAAAAGAGGCAATAAAAAGTGTTACATATATAAATAAATTCAAAAAGATCAGAAATCAAATAACAGATGAAGAAATCGAATCTGTTGTACACAGTGCTATCGAGGCAGACAAAAAATCCAGAGCAAAAGCAAAGAAATACAGTTTTATTCATCTTTATATTCACCCAAAAATCACCATTCAAACAATTGTGGCATCTATTTCAATGTGAGTTTGTGAAACTTTTAAAAATCTTATATTCTTAAAATTCTCAGGTTCTCCATCAGTTACGTCACCTATGGTCTTCTATTCAACTACGACGTTCTCAGTGGTTCAATTTACATGAATGCAGCTGTTTCTGGATTCCTTCGATATGTTGTTGGCGCAGTTGTGGCTGTTATGGATCATTTTGGAGGACGATATGTTGGAAGAAAACAAATGCATTTTATTACAGTGTCCTTTATAATGTGCTGCATGTTTGGCATTTTTTATATTTATTTCAATGGTAAGGAGCCGTTCGCGGCATGTATCGTCTTTGCTCTAATAGAAGCCCGCCCAAAAAGTCATCTTTGAGCTCGATTATATCTCAATTCCTGTAAAAGATATTAAAATTCTTACTACAGATGAAATATTGGCTGTATTATGAGGAATAATTTATCATTTGACAAAATTTTGATATCTATCATAGGAACCGAGATGATTCAGCCCAAAGGCAAATACGGTTATTTCAGATATGGTTGTGGAATACAAAAGCTGGATTCGTGCTCTCACTCTTCTTGCCTTTGGTACCACTGGTTGTTTGTTCCTTCAACTTTTGTTAATCACTGCTGAAATGTTCCCAACGGGCATTCGAAACATAGCATCAGCCCATATTAATGTCTGCGGTCGACTTGGAAATGTATTCGGGCCCATGGTTTTCAGTTATGTTAGTTTTTAAAAATATCTATTTTTCCTAAAATTAATTTTTCAGAAACTCGGATTTGCTGGATCCGGATACCTGATTCTTGGAGTAATTTGTCTTCTGGATGTGATCGTATTCCACATATTTATTCCTGAAACTAAAAATCAACCACTTCCACAAGGAATGCCTACAAAAAAGAAGCAGAAAAAAGATCCAGAAGCTCAGACGACGTTGATGACGATATCAGAAGAACAAGAAGCTAAATAATGATAAGTGTACATTTTGACTGAAATTCCATCATTGATAATGAAATGTTTGTAAAAATGATCCAGACAATTTTTCTTATTTTTTGTCACTTCTTCTCGCAGAGACCAAGAAATCATGCAGATTCAATATTGCACAACATTTGTCTGCTTCTCTAATTCCTCTCATATGGAAATACAAACACTCATACACCATTAGCCTGGTCGTGTCTACTCTATTCCAACACTTTGCAGCCATGAATGCTTCTCCTAGTGTAAGTTTAATGGAGAATATTTCTAACAAAAGGTTTTTTTTTAAATATGAGTCAATGTGAGATACGCAAGGGCGGAAAAAATTTTCAAAAATTTGGCAAAGTCTGTGTGAAATTTGGAAAACTAAACGTTATATTGCTTTTTAGTGTTTCATTTGAAAATATAGGCCAAAACCTGGTTCAAAAGATCAACCGTGCCGAATCATTATTTTGTGGTAAGAGTTATAATATAACAATTTGAATTTGAAAATCTCGATTCGAGATTCTGTTCATAACTTTAAAGTATTTTATAATCTAGTGAGAGTATTGAATGTTGTCTTCCGGCTGACCTTCAACCTCACAATGGAAGTATTTTCAGAGAAAGGCTTTGAGAATTTGCTGAAAATTTGTACAAAGGTACTTTCGAACATTCTGAAAACGGTTTCGGCAATATCTCGGTCCCATTCCCAATAGGAAACAAAATATGGGCTCTGAAAGTGTTTTCAGTACTAAATTTTTGCCAAAAATGCGCATTTTTCAAGCTTTAAAAGTCAAAGCAACTGTCAAGTCTATTTTCCATGGGGATCTGATGGTCCGTCGACAGTCCGTCAACGGCCCGTCAGTTCTTCTCCGGCTGCTAACTAGCATTGCGTTTCTTCATCTGAGATTTAGCAAATGGGCGACTGAGGAAACTTGATATCATTTTACAACTTTGAAAATTACCGATTTGTAAGTCAAAAACCTTGACATCTAAAAAAATGTTATTTCAGTCTGCTCCAACTGATTGCTATCAAATGTACGAAAGAATCAAAAACGCGAGAAGAATGTCTAGAAATGATCAAAGGAATGATCACTCCCAGCATTTAATGTGATAATCTCTTCATCCCCATTTTTGTAATGGATTGGAATATGGGAAACATTCCACATGCTCAACCAAGAGAAGTTATTACGGAGATTTTTCAAAAATGGAAACCCAGAAATCTAACTCTGAGATTTATCAAAAACCGGTATAAAAAGATCTCCAGACCTTGGCGTCGTCCGGCTAACCGGCTTTTGACGGATTTTAGTTTTGGAATGGATCCATCGAAAATGGAAAACATGGATAATTCATCTGTTGAGCATGTGGTAGTGGATGCAAAATGGTCCGAAATGGAACATCGAAACAAAGAATACTGGCAGGAACCATATCACTTTTTGTTTTCAAATCTGATGAGAGCATTCCCAAAATTGAAGATATTCTTGTGATTCGAGAGTTGAAGAATGACGTTGCTTTTATGTTTGAAGAGATTTTGAGTAGGATTTTGGAGCATGCATGGGATAAATGTTCAGAAGAAACGACGACAAAACTGTTCATTCGATTCAAATACACTTCATTTGTGATCCATCAGACTTTTTCGGAGAAAATAACAGAAAACCCGACGAAAAGCAGATAAAAAAAACTAGGTTACTGTAGTTGTCGTTGTGGGATCTTCGGTCACCTCCACCGACGCCTCTTCAACAGCTCCAGATTTTTTTTGTACCAGAATGATAAAAGTTGTTTTTTGTCGAAATGGAACATTTTTCTAGGTCTCTGGAGACCACATCAACGGATTTCAATTGCTTCCAGCAGAACGAGAAGTTAAAGAAAAATTCGAAAACTGGAAAAATATATTAAACGGTTTCGAAGCAGCACATTAAAATCACCAAAACATGAATTGTATTTTGAATTGGTTCACAGTAAAGAAACACTGGAATTTGCGAGAAATAATGTATCCAATCCATTTCAAATTATGTTATATTACAATTTATTTGGTCGTTTATAAGTGTCTTTGTAGATAACTTTAATAAAATTATTCATTTGACAAACACCGTGTCCGTAAAAATAGAAGTGATTACCTCGAAAACAAGAATTTTAAGAGAAAAGGCCACACTTTTTTGCATAAGAAATGTTGGGATACAAGAAAGAAAGAGAAAAGAAGGATACATTTTGCACCAGGGAAACCCTAACAATAAATAGAAAATTATCAAAGAGAATTGATTCATTCACTCCAGAAGCGCATCGTTACCATACATTATTAGTTCGTCCAGAAGTTCGTTCAGATTTTTTTGACATTTCTGAAAAAAAAATTAGTTTTGACCATCTTGAAAAATGTGAACTCACATTGACCGTCTCTAGAAGTACCCTCGCCCCAATTGTCCTTCTCTGACAAATCTCTGCAATTCTCGCTTTCCTAACATTATCATCAGCAGTTGTCGCTTCGATGACGTCGTGCCACGTGAAACTGAATTCCTCGGCAAACTCTTGAGCTTCAAACGAGACACGGAGCAAGTTGGCTAGCTCGTGTTCAATTTTCTCATTATTTCTGACAAAGACAACGACAGAGACTCTTCGAACGAATTTCACATGCTCCTTGATGACGTCATCCACATCGATGCATTTCTCATCAAGAGCCGCCAAAAAGCGAGCTAACTGTTGCTTTAATTGCACAGAAATTAGGGATCTTAATCGTAGAAGAGAGGCATTGACGACCGAGAAAATATGAGCAATCATATTCACAAGACACGTGGCATTCTCTCGCAACGAATAATTCTTCACCAGGAATCTCATGATTCCTGGCAAATTTTCAGACAACGTCTCCTGTGAAGAGCATCTTGCAAGATCGATAGCCCAGATGACGTGGAAAATGGATTCATAGGCATCGTCACACGCAGCGAATATAGGTTTCATTAGGGGCATCTGGGGTTCGTAGTGTGGGGACAGAGGTTGCACAAATTGCATTTTTGAAGAGACGTTCGGGGTTGAACCAAGCTGAAAAAAAGGCAAATTAATTTTTTGCCTGTTGTCGATATTGTCTTACGGAAGTGATAGAATCCAAAGTAAACTTCAACTTTTGTTTCTTCTTATTCTCCACCGTCTGGGTTACTGTAGTCGCTTCGAGTGCAGCTGCCAGGGCACTTGATACTGTTTGACGACTTAGAGACGCGCTTCCCACACGCAGACCCATGGAGGCTTCTCTGGAAATTTTCCATGATTTTACTTGATTTTGAATGATTTGACATTTCCAGTTTTTTATTGCCAAAACCCACTATTTTAGCCTTTCCGAAAACCCACTATTTTAGCCTTAATTTGAAGACAAGATCGTTTCCTTTCCTTACTTAATTATAGTATAAAGTGTGATGGTGAATCTGGGATCCGATAAAAAGAAGAATGACGTTGCTTTGTGAATGTGCTCCTTGAGTCGACCTGTGGTTAGAACCATTCTCATCACAATTCCACATACAACGTCTCTTAGAATTTTCAAGACCGGCGTGAGCTCTTCTTTGAAAATCAATTCCGGAGAAAGAGCAGCTCGGACTACAGTAGTTGCCTTGTCAATTGATTCCAGATCGTCATCAGAAGCGGAACCAACGTGGGGAAGGGATTTTCCAATTTCGAGAAGCTGGAAATTGTTTCTTTTTGTTGGAAAAACACATTTCATATAAAACTCACAATTCTCGCATCGGTTTCAGTCATAAAAATTGGAACTTTCCGAAGGGAAACCTCTCCAGTTGCATCGTCTTTAGCTATCATCCACTGAAAATTTGGAAAATCAAAAATTTAAATCATTTATCCAGATTTTTTCTCACATTTTCTGCTGGAACCTCGCCAGTTGTCATCCATTCCATCATCTGATAACAAAAAACGCCTAATGTGTAATCTAGAAGTTTATCCAAAATAAATTTGCGATCGTCTTCGAAGCTATGAGAAGAATGGAGTATGAACATCGATTCAAGAAGTTCCAATTGAGGCAAGTTTCTGAAACTTTTGCGAGATTTTCAAAAAATCTAACAGGATAATAATTACCTCGCCTTATAAGCCATCAACAGAATAGTCATCCTATATTGCCACTTTTCAATTAGCGGTAGACAGTGATGGAATTTAAGATCTTTGATTCTTCTCATTTCATCCATATCCCCAATATACTCTCCAAGAATATTTCGAATCGACGCCAGAAGAGCATTCGTGACATGATGTTCACCGGTGGCATGAGATTCTTTATGAGATAGAAGAAGATAAAGATTAGCGATCGACAGGACACGATGACATACAGCGAGATGGGTCTGAAAATTCATAGCAGTCCATAATCAGGGACTACACAGTATTTACAAACCGTTGAAATAGACGCTGTCGATGTGATTGTCATTTTGCGATGAATCGGTCGGAAGAGGCGTGATTCAATACCAATAAGTGCAAAAAGGAGACATTCGCAAACTGTCGATTCAGTTTCAGCTGAAAAAAAAACTTTTTTTTACATTGATTATCTCTGGTAACTCACTCTTTGCATTTCCAAGTCTCGCGTGTATTGGCGTATTCGACAACTGATTCAACTGAGCCCTCACAGACGATGTCACAGAATTCTGATGGGGGTTGGAAGACCTTCTAGGCGTTTGACGGAAAACTTGTTGCTGGGTATTTGAACTGCTTCGAGTGTATCGTTGATTCGAGTTAGGAGAGTCTTCGCGTAGAAGACGTGACGTCGCCTGATTTCCTTGTAGATGGTGTGGGGAGGGAGTGTTGAAGGCGGTGTTGGAGGCGCTGCAAACAAAGTTCGAAAAGGAATGAACAGGAATAACAAACTGAAAATTGTGAGTTTAGGGAAGAACATGAGAGAACTTGAGGAAAGACTTGAGCTGGGAAAAGGGAAACTGAGTAAAGCATACACACAATTGTTAGTAATTTCAATGAATTTCACACTTTTTATAGGAAAAACCTACTCAATAATTGGATCATCATCATCGTAAGGATATTCTGCTCTAAAAACTTATTCAAAGTAATTTTTCTGTCCGACTTTTAAAGTTTTTATAAGTACTTAGAATTCAAAGTAGATTCTACCTTCAAATAAACCACTCACGAAAATAGCTGATTGCTGGCAGTGAGAGGAGACACCCGTGTTGTTGGTATTCCAGAAAGACCACCCATTCTGTATGGACTACGTGGCCGTTGGGAACCAGCTAACTGTCTTTCAATTCCAAGCGCTCTCTGATCGTACGAAGTAAAAGATGAATTGGCACGAGAACGGGAAGTAATGCTTTCGTTGAGGTTCGGAGTGGCATGATCTCCGGCTGGAAATATATAAAATTTTATACAAAAATGTTCTGAAATTTGTAAATTTTAAACCCGTTCCGTATCTCTCCCCCTGCCCATTTCATGCCTTACTTAGAGTGCTCAAAACCCGTCCCCGGCTAGCCGATCTTCGTTGGAATGGCGACGATTGAATTGACGCTGTTGGTGTTGCTGTTGAATTTGTGGACATATTGCTAACGGATCTAGAATCATCGAGTGGGGTCCTGAAAATATGTGCTTGACGACATCTAACGAGAAAATCCATCATTAGCGTCATTTTTTCCGATTCGTTCATCAATGCATCAACGCGTTTCCGAAGAGGTTTGATCGAGTTTGGGTCACGACTCTCGCCTGAAAGAGTTTTAGTAAATTGGGAAAAATCACCGAGCATTGAGTTTTAATTGGTAATTGTTTAGTTTACGTAGTAGTTGACTTGATAGAAAATTAGTCATTAAGAAATTTTCACTTACATTTCTTTATGAATTGTTCTACGTATTGCCTGGATCCCTCGATATCCATCAGCTGCTTTTGATGTTGTAGGCTTTGTCTGACGTCTTCTACACTCATCATACTTTCCAGACCGAATGCATCTCGAAACTGTTCAAACGCCCCGAGAGAACCCGAATAATGAGCCATTTGTGGTTTAACAGCCTGAATAAAAATTATAAGAAATCGTTTAGAAGAATCAACTTTAAAGCCTGATACGATATAAAAAATTGTGATAAAAGTAGAAAATAGATCGAAGAGTCAAATTTTTTTCAACAAAGATGAATAATTCTCATTTAAAAACCTTTTTTTTAGTTTTGGAAAACAACGGAGACAGAAACGGAATTTGGCAACAGTACGCAATCGCGCTCTAAGCAAAACGCGGTAAAGTAACTTTTTCGAAAACTGTTATTTATTTTTAGCTTCGGCATCATAAATAGGGAAATTTCAGTCGAAAATGTTGAGAAAAAAAACAGAAAAACACATACTTGTAACGGGCCGGGCCGGGCTTTTTCCGGAATTTCGGAGGCCCGGCCCGGCCCGGCCCGTCATTTCACTAGTTTCGAAATTTTCAAAAAACACATAAGGGGGGACCCTTATGTAATTTTTTTACCAAAAAAATTTTTTTCGAGTTTTTTCGATCTTTCTTGATCAGACAGACAAACAATCCGAAATACGAAAAAAATGGAAAAAATTATTGAGAGCTCAAAATTTGGCTCAAAAATACAGAATTTTTGACACCGGGCCTTCCGGTATGGAAAAACAGAGAAACTGGCAAAAAAAAATAAAATGTCGGAAATTTGAAAATTCGATTTTTCAAGGAACATTCTTCAAAATTGTACATAGGGCTTCGAAGCGACTGTGCTGATTACTGTAGCAAAAGAAAAAAAGAGTCAGTTTTGTTCGCTAAAAAACGCAATAAAATTGTGCAAACATGTATTTTTCGAATGGAATGTAAAATATAGGAAAAAATAAATATATTTTTTTTTTAATATTTGAGCCATCGATGGTTAAAACTGTTATACTAATTCGAAAAAGTGATGGATGCTCATTTGAAGGCAGTGATGCCTTTCGAAGATAAGAAGGCAGAGATACATACTGAAAAATACAGAGATGTTAGAGAAAAAGACAAAATAAATCGGAGACGCGCGCGGAGACAGTTTGGAAGATTTGTGTGTACAGCACCACTCAACAGAGGGAGGTGGTTATTTATGTGCAGTTATTCGGTCCAATTTAGGAAATTCGATAATAATTGAAAATTTATTGAAAAACAACGAATTCAGTTTAAATATTAATTTTCAATTATGCCTTGTACAATCTTCACAACGTCCAACACATGTTTCGAATCCTGAAGCATTGAATAGTGATCTCCATTGATCTTGTGAGTTTTGAGATTCCTCGAGTACTTGCTCCATCCCAAATCACTTCCATCTACAGATAAAATATGGATTTTCTTGATGCTGATTTCTGGCTTATAATTCTTCAAGATTTGGAGAATTTTCCAAGACTCAATTGCCATTGAACGAGCAGTCTGAATGTCTACTTGGTAGTTTTTCAGATTTTCGGTCATTTCCTATAAAACAAGTTGGTGATATTTTTAGCTTCAATAACCTCACCGTTTCATTCTTCGAGTAATCCAAATGTTCAATTAAATTCCAGAATGTTCCTGAATCCAATAATACTACTGTTACGTTTTCTCGGAACTTTTGGGATGTGGCGAATGCTAAAGTTCCGGCTGAAGAAGCTCCAATGAAAATAAGAGAAGATGGTGAACTATTTCTCGCTGAAAAATATTTTGATTCTTATGAGCAAAACAATTTATAACAAACTTTTCGCCCAAATCTGATTTTTGTACCGTTCAGCGACTTCGTCCACCGTCTCTCCAGATTCCTCGTCTAGTAATAGAACATCGAGGAAATCAGTTTTCAGTATTTGAATCATCTTCAGATATGTCGTGCATCCACCATAAAGCGCTGGGAAGAATACTAGCGTTTTTTGATTTTGAGAAAGTCCTTTCTTCTTTTTCAAAAGAGTTATCATATCTCCAAACTTCAAGTTTTCCAAAACATCTGGAACAGAAATTTGAATATTAAGTTTGGTTTGCATCAAATGGCGTAGACGAATCAAAAGGAGAGAGTGACCACCAATCAGGAAGAAATTATCAGATTCAGATGGTTTTGGGCAGTTTAAAAGAGAAATCCATATAGCAGAAAGTTCAGATTCTAGAGAATCGGTTTTTTGTTTTTGAGAAATCTTTGGGTCTGAAAATTTGAAATATTCCAAGAGTTGCTCAAAGTTTAACCCACTTTTAACAATTTCCATTAACTTTACTTTATCTATTTTTGAATTTCCTGTCAACGGAAATTCTCCAACTTCATTGAATGTAGAAGGTATCTTTTGGGGCTCGAGAAGACGTTCACAATTACTTCGGATTGTTTCTGAGCTGATATCTAAAGTTTTATAAAAAACATGAATTTGTTGAGTCCCTGGTTCGAAAATGGCTTTGCAGATTTTGACATCTGGATGAGATTCAATGATCTTTTCGATTTCAGAGAGCTCTACACGGTATCCTCGAACTTTGACCTGAAATAAGTATACAATTTTTTGGTGTCAAAAAGTGAAAAAAAGCAACCTGAGAATCTGTTCTTCCAATAAACTCAATTTCGGAAGTCTTCGATATTCTACAAATGTCTCCACTGGAATACCATTCAGAAGTCATCATTTCTCTATTGAAATATCCTCTCATCCTCCCCCTTCCAGATATCAAAATCTCTCCATTTCCACTTTCATCGAATTTTGAAATCCTCACTTTTGAATTAATTGCCGGATGACCAATTTGACATCCGAGATCTCCCTTTTTCATTTGTTTTGAAATTGCAAATGCTGTCGTTTCGGTTGGCCCATAGTTTTGGATTACTCGGATTCCCATGTCTAGCGCAGAATCGAGTAGCGTCTGTGGAAGACGTTCTCCTCCGACAATCCAATACGGAAGACTTTTGATTCTTGAAATTTCAATCGACTGGACCAAACTGGGAAATAGGAGACAGTGAGTGATTCCTGGATCTTCTATGGACTTTTCGAATTCTGATGGATCGAAATTAGAGGATCCATAAATCAGAGTAGCTTGCGAAGCGAGGGCCATCGAAACTTCTAGAACAGAATTGTCGAATACAAAGTTAGTAAATTGAAAAATGCGACTGGAATTAGAAACTCTCATGGATATAGTGGAGGAGAGACACAAATTAGCTAGAGAATCTGCACCGATGGCTACTGATTTCGGACGTCCGGTAGTTCCAGAAGTTGTGATGACATAGGAAAGACAGTATGCCGTGGATATGGGGAAGTGACGAGATGATTTTGTAGATCCTATATCCTCGATGTCACCAGACTCTTCAAAAACAAATAAGGAATCTTTTAAAATCTCATTTCGTCTTTCTTCTGGATAACTTTTATCAATTGGCAAGTAAGCAGCTCCAGCAAATTGAACAGCTAGACATCTCACTGTGGTTTGTATTGATTTGGATCCAACTACTGCGATAACATCGTCGGATCGAATCATGGTACCTCGATGAATTAGAAACTCTCGAGAAAGTTTTTGGGACATCCGAAGAACAATTTGGTGTAGTTGACGGTAGGATAATTCTTCGCTCGAGCTCACCGCAAATTTAGAAGTCACATTAGAAGCTAGAAACTTTTCATATAGAACAGGAATCGAAAAATTAAGAGTATCTTTTTTGAGGCCATATATCGTTTTCTCGCGATTTTGATCCAATTTACTTTCAGACACTTCCAGCTCTTTCGTCACCATTTTCAATATTTCCATCATTTCTTTTTTCTTCAATCTATCCGATCTCAAAGTGATCCGATACGCCTCATTTGCCAAAAGATCCACATCGATTTCAATCGGGAAATGCAATTTCAATGGTACCAAGTCCAATAGCACTTCATCGTCCGACTCATCGTATTCCAAATCATATCGACAGTTTATGTAGAGGTTAGCAACTGATTCGTCTTTTCTGGATACCTTTCGAACTTGTCGGATCACATCGGAATACGGTAAATTAGCGTTGAGGACATCTGGAAGAGTGGAGAGATGGGATGAGTTAATTAGCAAATTGTTGAGGAAGTATCCACAAAGATTTGAAGTTTTCTCGTTTCGATTCAATGCGGGAAAAGCAATATTGAACTGGGATGAAGTTGGAAAACACTTGAGAAGGACTGATGATACGATTCTGAGAAAAACTGAAAATGGGGAGTCCCCCGAAGCCAGTCGTTGTGTGACGAGGGGTTTTGGAACATCCACAAAAATTTTTTCAGGATCATTTCTGTTTCCAATTTTCAAGCCTCCCAATCCTGCCACCAATGTTTCTAAGTATTCTCCATCGCAGTTACTAATTTCCTTCTGTTCCAATCTACAGTAATCCAAGTATGTGTAGTTAAAACGAATCGGGCTCCTTTGGGACTCCTCGAAAAAAGACTTCATGGTCGAATTCGTTATTTGAGTGGATCTAGCGTCACTAATCAAGTGGTGGAGGTGTAAAAATGCCACGTGTTTTTCAGAAGACGTCACGAAGCTAGCTTTTAGAAGTGGTAGTCCACTCAAAACATCAATGGGTTCTTCACAGAGCTCTCGGATTCTATCATGAAGTTTCTCTTCTCTTCTAACATTCTCAATGTGACATCTTAAAAATGCTTCTGTCATTGAAACGACTTCTTGATAAGGCTCTCCAGTTTCAGAATCCATTTTGAAAACGGTTCTGAATATGTTCTGTTCTTGAATCGTCATCAGAAGAGATCGATGGATTTCCGAAGGGCATACTGTAGCTGGGAATGGTTGAATGAAAGGAAGCTGGTATTCCAGTGAATCTTCTGTTAGTTGAGATAAGTAGAACATTTGATTTTGTTGTCGTGAGAGAGGGAATTTGAAGGATTCGAACGGATCAGATGGTTGAGGATGCGGTGTTGTTTCTGAGGTGCTTTCCAGTGTCTCATCCTTTTTCTGGAATGCTCTTACAGCTTTTTCCAACGCTTTCGGAGTTTTAAACTAAAAATGAGTTTCAGAGGAATTTCTATTTCCAGAGCATCACTTAAATAATCGATCAACTTCATTGCTGTCAGAGAATGCCCACCAGAATGAAAGAAGTCAGAGTTTTCAGAAACGTTTGTATTGAGAAACTTCTCAAAAGCTTGTAAGTAATCCAACTTTGTTTCTTCTTCTGTATGAGGCGCAGGAGGTCCAAAACAATTTTGAATTCCAATTCTCAATTGTTCAGCTTTCTCCTCGGAAATCCATTTCCCATCGTATTCTAGTTCAGCCATCCCTTCAGATTCAGAATACGTTAGGAGCACCGGAAACTGACAGAAGATGTCTTTCTGGTTTCCTCCGAGATTCTTATGATAGTTTAGAGCAAAATCAGCAAAGTGTCCTGTGGATCCAACAGCTTCCATCAATGCAATATTGGAGTTCTCCGTCAGCAGGTAAAGTCTCTCTACAAATTCTTCCGAGCTTTGATTTGTATCAAACACTAAAGGAAGGGTATTGGCAAACATGGATACCGTATTCCAATTTTCTTGGGTTCGATTCGCAAAAGTTGTGGCAATTGGAAAGGATGAGGTGATTCCAAAAACGTTCGATATAGTCTTTCCGTAAGCAAACGCTAGAGAAAATGTGGCTGGTGTGTCATGATCTCTCTTGATTGGCGCCACTGAGAACCTCAATTTGGAACTTTTGGATCCCATTTGAAACTTTGTGTAAATTGGTGTCCAGGATTTCAATTCAGAGAAAGAAGACGCTGAAATAGAACCATTGGAAACGACAGGCGTAGAAAAATTGTTTTCAAATTTTATATTTTCGCTTCCTCCACAAAGAAACTGGGCCAATTGTTCTTCTAATATTTCAAGGCTCCGTCTGTCGAAAATTATGTGGTGTATGGAAATGAAAAATTTCTGTTTATCCACCCAAATGTTTAGCACAAATGGATCACCACTGGACACAGAATTTTGGAGGGTTCCAACACTTTGAAAACCTTCAGTTCCAGAAAATAGAATAAATCGATATTCTCCTTGAATTCTAGAAAGTTTGCTACGAAGCATTTGGTTTCTCATGACGATAAAATTGACAGCTTGGCAAAGTAGGTCTTCGGAAGTTCTGGGTGGAATATCAATAGAAAACTCCAGAAGGAATGGGTCAGAAGACGTCATTCTAGACGAGAATAGAATTCGTTGCTGAATATGATTCAAATCGATGAAGTGATTCAGATGTTCTTGTTGATACCGTGGCTTTGGAACTTCTTTTTGAGCTTCTACCGTAGTCGAATTCGAAGAAGCCAAAACCCATTCCACAATCTTCCGGACTGATTTCGACTTGAAAAACATTTTTACAGGAACCTCAAATCCTTCAGTTCTCAACTTTTGCATAGTCAACATAACCGAAATCGAATCAACCCCACAGGTGAATATATTGGAATCTAGAGAGTCGATTTCGGATTTTGAGTAGTGTTGAAGCCATTTCAATAACAATGAAGAAAGTTTTTCAGCTTCGTCGACATGTTTGCTTCCAGAATATTCTTCGATTCTCTCTTCATTCGAATTTGAATTTTCATGACTTTTCAAATATTGTAGCAGTTGCTTTCTATCAACTTTTCCAGTTCTGAAATAAATTTTGTTTTTCAATGTTTCAAAAGTTTCCAATTTCGTTAAATTTGTAATAGAAGGGCCCTTCCAACTTTAAACCAACTTTTCTAGGTTCCTGTCAGGGATTTAAAAAGTGGTCAACTGATAAATTGTTCATCATAATATCAGAAGTCTTTCATCAGTTGACACATTTTTGATATCTTTCACAGGAATTGAGATGAAATAGCTCAAACTTGACTGTGTAGGGGGGCCTTCTATTACAGGTTTTCAGCTCTTACCGTGTCAACGGAAACTGTTCCAAATGGATCAATAGCTGTGGAACTTTGTAAGAAATCAACTTCTCCTCCAAAAATTTTTGAAGATTCTCTGACGAGTCGTTGATGCTTTCAGCAGACTTGAATTTATAAAACAATGCCAACTGATTGGAATTTGATACAATGCAAGTGCAATATTCAAGAAGATTTGATGAAAGGGCAACGCATTCAATCTGAAAGTTTACTAAGTTTTCTCTCTTAGAACCCCGAGTACCTCACTCACCTCAAACAAATCAATACGATGTCCTCGTACTTTCACTTGAGAATCTTTTCTTCCAATGAATACAATTTCTCCATTTTTCAACTTTCGAACCTCATCTCCGGTTGGGAATTCGTCTAATGAATGTCTTGTAACCTCAAAGTATCCTCTCATCAGACCAATCCCTTTTAGAATCAACTGTCCTCGTTTGCACATGTCATCTGAACCTCCGAAGCTTCTGACTTCCACATAAATATTATCGTAACACTCTCCAATCTTTCTCAATCCATCTGGATCCTTCAATTTCGACGGGAGGATTCTTCTTCTCGCAGAATACACTGTTTGCTCTGTTAGACCGAATTCTTGCCATACGTTTAAAGTTTTCGGGAGTCTCTCCAAAACTAGAGGCGCTAATGGTTCCCCTCCATATTGAAGTGTTTCAAGATGTTTCAAGCACTCCATATCTGGTAGTCTTGATAGGAACGCTGGCATCAGATATACATTGGTGCAGCTCAAGAGCTCAGAAGACGTCGCAATCGAATCTCGAGCCAATAGAAGGCGTGCTCCATTTGTAAATGTTTTGACGATATCAGCAAAGAAAATATCAAATGAAGGATCGACGACTTGTCCGATTGTGTCACTTGATGAGATTTGAAAAGATGTGGTATACTGACGGGCTAGATTCGAATGTCCTTGGAAAGATGTCCCAACAAGTTTTGGTTTTCCAGTACTTCCAGAAGTGGAGGTTACGTAGGCAAGATCGTATGAAGAAGAGCGATTGAAAATTCTCAGATTTGATGTTTTGAAATCATTCAAATTCCTCAAAACGATAGGATGTTTGAATCCCAATCCTTGACACGTCTTCTGAATTTGTTCTTCTGTTGCATCTCTGTGTAACGGAGCTGAATAGAATCCAGCACTCCATGCTCCCAAAACGGCTTGTATCAAATCTGGGCCTCTTGGCATATGAATGACTATCGGACATTCGGCGATCAGTTGACAATATCGCTGGATTTGAAGTTTGAACAGGTTAGAAGATAGTTTATTGGGGTAGATTTTGACATCTTTCTGACGATATCGAACCGTTGATGCTTCTCCACTGATGATTTGGGATACTGTAGAAGTGGGAAAATCACTGCGACGCGGAACATTCTTTACCGGAATTCGCTCATTGTCTGCTAGTAGTCCGTTTATTATCCGGAACATTTCATCTGTGACTGTTTCAATTGTTTCTCTTCTAAAGAGATTGTCAGCATATTCAACTTCCACATGCAAACGGTCATCTCCGAATAGCCTTAAATACCAGGTCATTGAATATTTTGCCACTTTCTTCTCTTTGGAATCTGTGGAATCCTGAATGATATCCACGTGGATTGTTTCATCTTCAAATCTGACTCTCCTACTGGCTTTGGAGAATTTTTTCGAGATTGAATCGATTTCCACCACATCGTTAACCACAAAAATGTTAAATAAATCTCCATCGATTCCAGTTAACTTCACAATCGATTCATAAGGAAAGTCCTGGTGCCTTCTTGATTCTCTCAACGTCTTCTGACAATTCTCCAAGTTGTTATCCATTCCAGATAGATAAAACAATACATTTGTAAAGCATCCAATCGTTTCGAAGAATGGAAATGTTCTTTGGTCAACTGCGAATCCCATAGCAAAGGGATCGGATATTCCAAAAACTCGACGAGCGGAAATTTCGAGAACTCCCATGAATAGTTCAAAACGAGAAAGTGATTTCTGTAGGCAAAAAGTATCAAACTTCTTCTGGATACCTTTTGGAAACGGTTGATGCAGATAAGAAGCCGTTAGAATTTCAGAATACTCCGAGAAGTCATGAGGTATCTTCTCAAGTTCCAAAGTTCCAAATGGCTTTAGATAATTGGTCCAGTAATCCAAGGATTCTTTGGAAGCATCCTTCTCAGATCTACAATAATCGTAGTGCTGCAGTGCGGGTGCTGCGCATTGGATCTTCGGAAAATTGATTATCATATCTTTGAATTTCCGATAGAAAACGAGAAGGGATCGACCATCGATTGAGATGTGGTTGAAGATGATTTGCAGAATTTGTTTGGATTTCAGAATACATCGAATGGGTAGAATGGGATCTAGAATAAAAGTTTCATCCTTCATTCGGATAGCAATAAAGCACTCAGTCCCTGATAACAGATACTGATAATCTTCTGAATATTGGGTTCTCAGAATTGAATTTGTGATTATCAGATGATTGATAACGTTGGTGGTTCGCTTATGTGGAAGATGTGAGAAGTGAAGTAAAACCGATTCATCAAATTGGGAAGTTAAATTTGAGGAAGATGCTAACAAATCCTTTTCGAGCTCTCGAACGAACAAAATTCGTTTTTGTTGAGAGGATAATGGGATCTCGAATTTGTTATGAACAGATTCTGAATGCTGAACAATGACAGGTGGATTCTGATTAGTTCTTATCTTCTTATCTTCTTTCATCTTATCCAAAAACAGTGTGATCTGAGCAAGTGTCTTGTAAGACACTAGGAATGGAGCATTCAAATTCAAATTCGTGAATTCCGGATGATTTGAAATGTGATATTCCAGCTCAGCAAGTCTCAATGAATCGATTCCCAGATACGGTAGTGGTGTGGATGCCACGTCATCTGGTGACATCTTCAGAAGATTCATTTGGTTTTGTAGGATTGATATGAGAATATCAAAAGACTCTGTGGGATTTGGTTTCTCTTTTTCTTCTATGGAATCCTCAGAATCCAAATCTTCCAAAGCTTCAACCCTCGAATTCAGCATTTCATCCGTTAAAAACAAATCGTCGTTGATTTTTCCGTCATCCAAAAAATCCATAAATCCAAACAACGAACCGAAAAGATTGAAGACTTCGACCTTCACATTTTCAGTGTCCTCATCGATTTTTACAGAAATTCGAACTTTTCCAAAATGGACGAATGGAATGCAAAACTGATGAATATTCTTAATTTCTTTCTTGAATTTCAACTCCTCCAACATGTTAAGAATTGCCTCGAATAGACTACTTCTTGTAGTTTGTTGCTCTTTTTTCAAGTTTACATGAAGATAAATCTCTTTTTTCACTCTTTGACACAGTTTGATTTCAGATGGAGAACAGGAGAAAATCTCTTGAAAAGTGGGATTCTGTTCAATTTCATAATTGCGAATTTCGATTTGAGAAACGTACTTGTCCGATGCTTTGGGAAGAATCAGTCGAGCATTTAAAGCAAGAACTTCTGGTGGAATTTCAGAATTTTTGAGTTGCGGAGAATCTGAAAAAAAGGAAAACCAAGGATTTTCGGAATGGAGTTCGGAATTTCGAAAATCCCGTCCAGAATATCTCAGAAGCTTTTTAAAAAATCGGAATCAAATTCCAAATCAACAGGTACAAAAAATTAGAGTTATGAAAGGTCCACAACGACAACAACCGTAACCTAAAAGATTATATTTTCTCGTTTTTCACAGCTTTTCGTCTAGTTTTCTATTATTTTTCCCAAAAAAAGTCGGAAAAATTGACTGAAAACGCCGGAAAATAAAAAATACTTTAGGTTACTGTATTTGTAGTTTTTCGAAATCTGCTTGTGAATTTTTTTGTTTTTGGCGGAAAAAAAGAGATTCCAACTTTAAAATTTGACTGCTAATAGTTACGAAATCATGAAAATCGGATATTCCGAAAAATTCCAAAAAAGCCATTCCGAACATCCCTGACTGGAACCCTTCGAAATAAAAAGCTCACCTTGTCCAAATATTCCAAACATCATTTCATCAGTTGCGGACATTTTCTTCTGCTTCACAGCTTTGCAGTTCTGGAATTCGGCCAAGCATCTGACTCCGCCCATTTTGATTTCCACATCATTAGAACTGAAATCGATTTTTTTCGGAAAATTCAGTTTTTTTTCCGGGTCGTATTTCAAGTTTATTTTTTCCCGCCCTCTTTCCGATGGAATGCAGGCCGCTGTTTTGAGCTTCGCTTCGAGACCAATGCTAATTTTACTGTATTCGCGTTTGAGTGCATTTACAAAACGTTCCGAAAAAAACACTGTTTTTAAAATAAAAATTACTTACGTCTTCTCAATCTCTCTATCGTTTCCAAATCTGATATTTTTCACGAATACATTCAAAGAATCTGCGAATCGACTTTGTTCATAAATCCTACAAAGTTCTGGAAGGATTTCACAGAATATCGTTTCATTTTCAGAAGGTTCTGTCATTTCGTAGAAATACAGAGCAGCGTAGTGTGTTCCATTGTCCTAGCACCCCCTTTAATTAGCTCATATTATATCGTACAATGGTCAAACTATAGCCAATTAGACACCAAGAAACCGTTAAAATTCATTGTTGTTCACACAATTCACAATTTACAGCTACAAACGAAAACCGAGATGCTTCAAAAAAACTGGGAAAGAGCACATAAATTAGGTAAAATGAATTAGTCCAAAAAGCTATCAATTTGAATGCAAAAAGATGATCACTGCCGGAATCGCTTGAAGAGTGGATGCCTCTCAGTAATTGCTTTCGCTTTGGCATGATACTGAGCTCCTTGTCCACCCGACATCGACGCCATTGTTGCTTCACGACGTGCGACACGGATTGTTCCATCTGCGAGTTCTTCCTGAAAATAAAGAAATGAATAGGAGTATAATAAATACTTTGAAAGTCACCTTAATATCCTCTTCCTCTGCGTCAGCATCAGAAGTAGCAAGGACTTGTGAAAGCAATTGAAGTTGAGATTCTTTTGTTGCCAACTTTAAGTCCTCCTGTTCCATTCCAGGCAACCTGTTGACCACTTTGTACGCATATCCTTGATTCACTAAGAACCGTTGACGCTTTCTAGAATATCCCATTTCTACAGTATCCTGCGAGACGAGAGAATAGAAGAATGCGTTGAACTGATCAGTCGAATGCTTTTTCGCTCGAAGAATTCTTCCTAGACGTTGTGCCTCTTGTCTTCTAGATCCTCCGTGTGCTGAGATCTGGATAAGCACGTTGGCTTCTGGCAAATCGAACGATGTATCTGCTACTTTCGAGACAAAGATTGTGTTGACACGTGGATTGTACTGGAAATTCTGGAGAATCTTCATACGCTCGTTCTGTGAAGTTTCTCCGTACAAGAACGGCTTCTGCATTTCGATGGCGTATCTTTTCAAAGCGAAAACGTTGTCTGAGAAAACGATGATCTTGTCGTTTCGTCGTTCGTGGAATTTAATCAAGAATTGACAGATTCGGAATTTGTTGGGATTCATCACAGCAAGCAACAGCTTACGCGCGATTTGGGATCTGAAAAACCGATTCAGTCCTTTGAATTTCCAAAGTTAGGTTACCTGAGATAATATGAATAAAACGCGGAAGTCATTGGGCACCACACTTCAGCACACTGTACTTTGGCAATATGACCTGCTTTTTGCAACTCCATCCAATTCGCTTCATAAATCTTCGGACCAATCAAAAAATTCAAATCCGTGATTTTATCGTCCTCACGAACCAGTGTAGCTGTGAGACCCAATTTACAATGCGCTTGTACAATTGTAAGTACTCTGCGGAACATTTTTGCAGGAATCGTGTGTACTTCATCTAGCAACAAAAGTCCCCATTCTTGTTTTTCAATAAACTTCATAGCCTCTTCAGCCTGTAATGTACGACGTCCGGAGTAGGCGACCATGGAGTAGGTACTGATACACACAACAGGCTTTGTCGCATCTGCTCCCGATGGTGCTGGATCTTTGGCTTCTCTTGTGAATCGAACCAGTTGCTTGTCTTGAATAGTGCTCCATAATTTGAACTGAGCTCTCCACTGTTCAACAGACACATTTGAATTGGCAAGTACAAGACATCTTTTGTTAACTGTCGTGACTGCAGTTACTCCTACCAATGTCTTTCCGGCTCCACATGGTAAAACGATGACACCACTTCGGGCGCGACTGTTTCCAAACATTTTACGAAGGGATTTTTCTTGATAAGGTCGGAGAGTTGTGGAAGGCTTCAAATCAATTCCCAGGTTTGGATTCATTGTATCATTTCTGAAATCGTACTCTGCTAGAAGCGGATATTCCAATTCAATACATCTTCGTTGAACTGTTTCAATTGTTTCCTGTTTGATTTCAAAAGTGAGCAGTTGCAAGTTACGAATCTCTGCATCTTCCTCGTCATCCCCATCCATTTTTCCGAAGAATTCATCAATGTCAGCAGGAACCTAAAAGATTTAGAATTTCATATAAATTACCTATTAATTTGAAAATCACCTTTCCATCTGCATTATCCGCCCCGTCTTTATCAGCACCGTCATTTTCATTTCCATGTGAAAACTTGATTTTCTCTTGTGCCGACAAGTCTGTCTGCTGAGCTGGCTGCACTCGATCATCCAGAATACATGACTGAATCACTGTGTCCTTGAGAAGTTTTTGCATAACATCCGAATGCCGGGACTCCACAAAATATCTGTTGTGTTTGAGCACCAGCTTCACTTTTCCATAACTGACAGTACACATTTGAATGAATGTAATGACTCCTTTTGGAAGTTGACTCTTGCTCAATCGTTCCAAATATTCTATGATATCTTTTGTTTGAAGACCAACTGATACTGCAGCGTAGAGAGAATATGCGGTCAACTGATACTCATGGATATGTTGTGGACGACAAACTGGCTGAAATGAATGAATTTCAGATAATGTTATGAAACTTTTAGAACGAGTAACCTCGGAAATAGCAATAAGAAAGTCTCTCGCATGTTTGTAAACAGGACTAAATGATTCCAGAAAGATGTGTCCGTCAGGAGCCACCCATAAAGGGCGAGCCGAGAAGTCTGCCTGAAAAAAAAGAAACAGGTCATGTATTTAAGGTATCTCATCGTCTTCGTGGGTAAAATTTCAGTGCATGGGCTCATAAAGTTGTTTCAATTTCTACTGGGGTCTTCTCTGTCAATGTGTATTTCGAGCTGTCACCTCTACGATACGACGTTAATATCTATTTGTCTATTTCCCGGTTCTTCTAAGTAATTATACAGTGTTTTGTTTCTATTATCATACTTTCAATGGCATATCCTTTCGATAATCCTTTGCTCCGAATTCATCCGTCATAACCGAAGATGAATTTTCACCACTCAAATTGTGAGAAGCTGCTTTCGGAACTGAAAAATTCACGTTTCCTCGACAGTCTCCAAATCTCAAGCCTCACCAGCAGCCGCAGTATCCTTTTCAGAACTGCCAGCTCCTGATGATGATGCATTGTCTTCTGACTTGAAGGCGTCCCATTTCCCACGACGTTTTCGTTCTTTAGTTGCCATTTTCCTGAAACACTGGCTGGGCGTTCTTCAAACAAGGAAGCAACGAAAAAATACGAAGGGGAAAAGTACGCAAACGCGGTATTTTACGGCAAACAATGTATTAGACGACAGCCAATTTCTTGGGGGAAAACATTCATTCAGATCAAGAATAAAGGAAAAGCATTGGGATAGAAAAATGGATTCAGGGAAAATATATCATCATTCTGGTCGATTTGATGGTACAAATTGAGCAGTGACGACTTGAACATTGGATGGGAGATTCTTTGGAAATTGAATAACGCTTGTTTCCTCAGAGTGGATTCCTCCTTCACGAACAATCGTTCGACGAGTTTCGATTTTTATAATGTCAGGATAAACTGAAAAAAGGCGGTCATTGGGGAAAAATGATTCAACAACACACCTTCGACTGGCTCGAAAACCTGAAGTTGTGTCTTTTGGGTCACTTCCGCTGGTTTTTCGATTTTTTTATTTTCACAGTTTGGCTTGTTAATACTTGCAAGAGGAGAATTCTTTATTGGCTTCCGAGCAGTTTCTCCGTTTCTTGTCAGCCCACGTGGCGATGGAGAATCGGTGAACAGTGAATCGCAAAGTGATGGAATTTTCTTTCCGTAAGAGTAGGCACCATAGTATGAGCTCTTTGAATTATTGTCCTTCGTTTTTACATCTTTATCTCGTTGACACGATTTTTTTGAATCTGAAATATATGGTGTAAATTTATTTTTATTTAAAAGAATGACTAACTTATCGATGTAATACTTTGCAATGAAGTTGCAGTTGAGATAGATTTAGTTTCATTTCGACTGTCTTTATACTCTAGGAGTAGCGGTGTTGGTTTCTGATGAGGAATCAACCCTAAACTTTTTTTCAGCTCTCGTGTCGCATTCGCATTATCAGCTGATCTCGGTTTTGGTAGAGCTAATTCTGAATGTAGAGCTGGTAATTTATAAACATTAACTCCTGTTGCACTTACGGTTTCTAGAACTGGTTTTTTGATTAGATTGCGAGCTTCTCAATGCTCTTGTTGCTGTATGTCGGGTCTCTTTTCCCGCTTTTCGATTGAAGTTATTCGAGTTTGGCGAAGGCCATGGATTCGGTGCTCGATCTCTCTTTCCCTCTCCAGCGAAACCTTCAATCATTTTAATTGGCTTGCTGTTTTCAGCACGAATAAATATGATCTACGTTTATATATCAGATAGTTGGACACTTCCGAAAAAAAAGGACTGGAATTGCAGTTGGAAAATGTGGCATGGAACGTGTGAATACTTGTCTAGTATTCTAGAATCTCACCTAGTTATAGGGCAAATACTCATTAGCTTGATGATCTTTTGCTAAATGCTCACTTGCTAAATATGCTCATTTGCTAAAATAGTCTCACTTGCTAAATTTCATTTGCTAAATTTTGATCATTTGCTAAATAGAGGATTTGTTCAAATTGAAGGCTTAGGCTGAAACTCCTTACCGGAAAACAGGTGTTTAAGCCTATTCCTAAAATTTAAAGCAAAAACCGGAATATTCTGTAAAAAATTCAGTCAAAAAGTACTGAAATTAGCAAATAACAGCAAAATTTTCACTTTTTCATTTTTAGCAAATGATCAAAATTTAGCAAATGAAATTTAGCAATTGAGACTATTTTAGCAAATGAGCGAGTTTAGCAAATGAGCATATTTAGCAAGTGAGCATTTAGCAAAAGATCATCAAGCTAATGAGTATTTGCCTAGTTATAGTTTGCATCTTTTCGCGATTCAAACTGATGAGCTAATTTTCAGCAGTTTTTTATTGCAAAAATGGTATAGAAGACATATTACCACTTTGTTGACGAAAGTTTGTCTAAAAAAACTGTTTTTCGTTGAAAAATTTTCAAAAAATCATAGTCTACAGCAATGTGTGACTACCGATTGTCACTTACCGGCAGGTGCCTTATCGACAAAAATTTTCCGATTTTGTCGACAAATTTACTTGACAAATTATCGATAAATTTGTCGATAAAAATGATAAAATTTTGTCGATAAATTGTCGTCAAATTATCGGTAAATTTGTCGAAAGTAATTTATCGATAAATTTATCGACAAAATTTTGTTGACAAATTGTAGATAAATTTCTTGTTTTTTTTTGTCGATAAATTTGTCGAAGGGGGCATTAGTCGACAAATTATCGACAAAAAATTGCTATTGACCGCCGGAATTTTACTAGTAAAAAATCGTATCTCATCTTTTTTTCTAAGCCATTTGACCTGGTGGCCTAATTTTTCCAACATGAATTTTCTAGACCACCAAACGTTTTGACCTGAAAATGATCTGATGTTAACATGGTGCGTTTTTAAGCCATTTTAACATGGTGGTCTAACTTTCGTAAATTGAGTTTTCTACGCCACCAACTTTTT